ACATCGGTATTCGGGCTATTATATCCTGGAGGGCACAAGTCATAGTTTGTGACTGCTACATCCGCAGTGGTCTTGATCTCTTTAAAGAAAACGAGATATCCGTATCTCAACCTGATCTATTTGTATCTCATTTTCTTTGCATTATTTATCAATAAAATATAATTTTTTCTGATATTTTCACCAACAGTCTCTCTTCTCCATTTCTCAGATCAATCTAGTTGCTGTACAGAGACGACAGATTTTAGAGGTATCCACTCATTAGGACCATTCCCGCTTCGTCGCTCAGTTTCTCTCCTGCCAGAAGGTACGCTCTCTCTCTCTCTCTCTTTCTCTCTCTCTGTATGTGTGTTCTATTTCAAATCTAAACCAGATCATGATGAGTAAAAAATTGAAATATGTTTTTCTATTGATTTCCAACAGATAAAACAAAAGATTTGTTTGAACAGATAAAATTTTTTTGTAGAGATAAAAAATTAAACAGATAAAATTTGAACAGATAGAAAAAAAAATTGATGTGAATACATGTTAGTTGTTTTGAAATGTTCTAATATGGTTCAAATGATTTGGGTTTGGGTACTAAACTATATACTGTTTGATATATATTTCAGGCGGTGAAGAATAAGATTCAGGATTTGGAAAATTGTCCTCTGGTGCTAGAACCGAAGAAGATTTATGCATCTTTTTTTTTTCTTTCTTTTTTTTAGTTGTTGTTGAACAGATAGTAGATGGAGTTTTTTTGTTTTTTGAACAGAGAACAATTCTGTTCAAAATTAAAACAGAAAGCGGCTTGTGTATTTCAATAATCATGATTTGAACAGATAAAAAATCAAAAATAGAATTTAAGGAAAAAAATGAACAGATAATAAAATTTGGACATATAGATTTAAATAGATAAGTGAAAAAATTGAATGGATAAAAAAATCTAAACAGATATTTGAATAGAGAAGGAAAAAATGAATAGATAGGAGAGAGAGATGAGAAGTTTGAACATATAGGAAAATAATAAAATTTTAAACGATAGAACATATTTGTTTTAAATAGATCTGTTCAAATATGGTGAAAAATTGAACAGATAGGTAAAAAAAATTGAACAAATAAGAAAAAATTTGAACAAATAGGGTAAAATTTTTGAGTAGATAGGAAAAAAATTTAACAAATAGGATAAAAAAATTTGAACAGATAGTCAGCAAAAAAAGTCAAATAGGTTAAAAAAAATTAAGGGATAAAATTGAAAATAAAATACCTTACAAGATTTTTTACTAAATTTTTTCATAAAGTGTAGACTTCTCGTCAACAAAAAACATTCACTGGACCTACTGTCTTAGATCCTCTCTAAATTGGATTTACCTCCAATTTTCTCTTTAAAAAAAAATAAAATAAAATAAAATAAATCGAACAAATAAGTTTAAATCTTGACTCCTTGGGCTGGGCTAAGCTCATGACGCCACCTGTTGATCCATAAGAGATGACCCATAAGCCTGCTTGTGCTTAAGGCTTTGGCCCATGGGCCAACGGCCTATCAAAAAACATAGGTTCCACTTTCACAAGCGGCCATACACTGGTAAAAAAAACAAGGGACACTTACCAATAATTCTTATACACAAAGTTTAAAATCTATCTAATCTCAAAACAATATATTTGCACCAATTAGTCCTACATATTTTTAATTGTTACCAAAATTTTTTTTTTTTTTTTATAACTTTAAAAATGTTGCTACATCCAACGACTTCTGTCAGACTCACCGAAGACTTGCCGAAATATGCAACATCACCGGGAAGTCACCAGAAGTTCGCCGGAGTGTTTTGAGCATTGCTGAAAGTTTGTTGAAGTATTCTAAACGTCACTGGAAAATGTCAAGAATATCATCAGAGACTCACTGGAATATTCAGAATATTGTCAGGAAAAAAAAAAAGAATAAATAGAGAAATTATAGTTAAAAAATTTAACAACAACAAACAATAATGGAAAAAAGTATACATTAGTTTTTATTTTTTGTAGAGTTTAAGCAAATAATTTGTAATATTAATCAAACTGAAAAGTAAGCTTTGAAACTGTAAAATGTTACAGTTTCAAAGCATTATTCTATTAAGCTGGAAAACATGTTATGCAACTGCAAAATTTTACAATTCTAAAGAATGTTATGAAACTGTAAAATTTTATAATTTTAAAGCATGATTCATTTCAGCACCAAAAAAACTGAAGCTATAAAATTTTACAGTTTTCATCGCCTGTAACTAAAACTTAAAAACAACTTATTCAGAAATTGAAAATTTTCTCCATTAAAACAAAAAAATAGACGTGTGTAACAAAGAAAGGGTACAAAAATTGAGAAATCAAAGGAAAGAAAAAATATTGGACTCCGGCAATTTTTTTTGATTTAGATCTAACCAAATCTCATGTAAATCTCAAATCTAATGTAGATCTCATCTTCTTCGCTGTCGATGAGGATGAAGTCACGAGTTGATGTCGGTGGTTGGTGGTTGCTATATATTAGAAAGAAAAAGAGAATAAGGAATGTGTGATCACCGGTCGTCGGACATGACAAAAAGGAAAAAAAAAAAACATAAAAAATGAGACAAAAAACAGAGAGAGAGAAAGGAAAACGTGTAAGACTTTTGGGTATATTCAAAAAGTTGTTTGATTAAATAGTGTACATATATTTCAAATAGGACTTACGGGTAATTTTCCCAAAAAATAATGTCCAATTAATACACATTAATATATATTTGAAAAAATAAATAAATTAAATACACACTTAACTTTGTGACACTCGAATTTTCGTTTTTAATTTTAATATTGCAATCAAAAAATAAATAAATCAATAAATAAAAATAATAATAAATAAATGCATAATTTAGAAAATTAAGAATTTATCAATTAAATTGGTAAGGAAATAAATTGTAAGACACCACACAAATATTTTAGTAAGTAATAAGTGATATTTTATAATTGAGTAGTAAGATTTTTAGACGTGAACCTAACGTATAATCATAAGTAATTTTAGGAATTATGATTTTTAAAATTGAAATAACATTAAAAAAAAAATTAAAAAAAAGGGGGAACCTTCGGTGGGGCCAAGGGGCAACTTGGCCCTTGGTGAATTTGCAGAGTTGGAACAAAAAGATAAGGGGTGAAACAGGTGTCAACAAAATTGAGAAGTAGAGAACATGTGGCAACGGGTGGCAAGAGGGGGAATTGTCCACGTGTGTGCGTGGGTTGCTTGGGCGTCACTCCTGATTCTGTATAGAGCTGTGCCTTATACCCCAGTGGGGGTTGCACCCCAGTGACGTGCGCGCCCCCACTGGCTGCCAAAAGAAAAAAAAAACTGTTTTTTTTCATCCAATCATAGGCCTCCACCTTATTGGGGGTCGACCCCCAGCGGGGGTATAAATCATTTTTCTTATGTATAAATAGGATGTGTGTTGTAGAAATAGGCATCCGAGCAATATAGTGCTATAGTAGAGCAAGAAACACAAGAAACGGGAAGCAACCACTGCCTGCCAAAAAAAAAAAATTGTTTTTTTTTCATCCAATCATAGGCCTCCACCTCACTGGGGGTCGACTCCCAGTGGGGGTATAAATCATTTTTCTTATGTATAAACAACCGTGCTGGAATCCCAGCACCCCCACTCCACATGGGGCTCTGTGATTGGCAGATAGAAAACAAAAAAAACAAAAAAAAAATTCAGCCAATAGGAAAACACTGAGGGTCACTTGGGGGTTTGAAAAATTGGGGGTCCAAATCATTTTTGATGTATAAATAGGATGTGTGTTGTAGAAATAGGCATCCGAGCAATATAGTGCTATAGTAGAGCAAGAAACACAAGAAACGGGAAGCAAGCTCAAAATAATTTAGGAGTAATTTTCAGATGAGTTTTATTATATCTTGAGTTATTATAATATGTTTTTTACATGTCTTAAGTTATCATAATATATTTTATGAATGTTTTAAGTTATCATAATTTATTTTATATAATTTATGTTTTATGATTAGGTTAATGTTTCAATTATGTGGATTTTTTTCTGAGCTCTATTTGTTTAAATTAAAAACCATGAATATATTTGTTTAAATTTTAGAGATTATTTGACAATGACCTTGTAAACAATTATTTTCTGTAAGCATCACCACAAACTCCTGTACTGATTGTCACTTAGTGACCCCTGTTCTGTTATATACCGTGGTTATAGTGATTTATTTCAGTTTTTGCCACTTAATTAATTTGTGTATTCAACTCAAATTATATTAATGTTTTAGTTTAAATAATTATCCATGACTATTTTGTGCCCCTACACTCACAGTATAATATTTCTCACTCTGCTATGTGCTTATAACTATTACCCCTTTCAGGTGACGAGGTTTAACGGGATCAAGATGGAAAATGAATCGCTGTGTTGTTTTTTTTTTTAAATCTTTTTTTTATTTCTATCTATTTTATTTTGAACTCTTGTAATATAATAAAGTTCAAATGACTATATTTTATTCCCTTTTAAAAAAGCATTTGGTACCCAATTATTTTATTTAATTTATCCGCTTACGCTGCGACTACAAAATTATTTAAATTATTTTATTTTTATCTTGTTACGACGCCGAACTTTTAGATACCGGGTTTGGGTCGTGACAAACTTTAGATATACTACACAAAGTGATTACTCCGAGACTTAAAACCTATAATCTCAAGGTTGTTAAGTCAAACTTTTATCATTGAACTACTAGTACTATATTGAATTATTGATCATTAACTTATATAAAAACTTGTGAAAGAGAGCAACAACTTTATTATGTATATTATATTCTCTAATATATTTAGGGTGGTTTAAGATGATTTAAATAAGTATATTTTTTGACTTTTTATGAAATATGAATTGGATATGAGTTGAGTTTGAAATGATGTGATTTAAATAAGATGATGTGACTTAAATAGAATAGTGACTTTTTAACTTTTTGACTTTTTTAAGTTACGACAAATAAGGCCTTATTCGTAAATTTGATGTCCACGGCACACTTGCAACCATATATATATATATATATCCACGTGTACAGCCACCAGCTATGTGGGTTCATCGACACAAACTCTCTTTATATCAGTAATCACAAAATCTTAACAAGAAACAATACTTTCATTCTCATAGGAGTTTTCTTCCTCTTTTTTTTTTTTTTTTTTTAATAAGAACAGAAAGAGAAATTAGGACCTAAAAACCGTCTAATTGAACATATGCCTTCAAAGAAGCCTCACACTGGATTATTTTCCCAGATTGATGAAGGGGACAAGAAAATTGGCAAGGGGACTATGCTGCAGACATGATGCAATCAATTGCTTGCTTGCAAATGCCAGTCATTGTAGCCTCTGGTCCATAAACCTGCAACAAAAATCATTAAACGCTTCCCAGATAATGACATGCAAAGCACCAAAAAAAAACAAATAAATTGATAAAAACAAATAAATTGATAAAAACAAAATAAAATAAGAGCGAAAAGAAAGCTTGAGAATTATCAGTATCATTGTCCCAATTTTTACTGTTACTTTCATTTAAAATGCTAAATGAAACAGAGGTCAAGTCATCAGTGAAGTTGTCAACTTGAACTAATATTTTACTAGACTAACATCAACAAAGCAAGTTAACAATATATGTTTATTTCAAATGCTCCAATTCTCCAATTAAGGATCTGAGTACTTACCAATGCATTTCACGTTGATGTTAAAATTTTATCACACCTTAGGCTAACCTGATCCACTTGCAAGAACCTTTTACTTTCAACAATGCAAAACTTCACTCTTAATGCGTTAATCTAGAGTCAAAGCCAAGAGCCAATCAAAATTTTCTTTGGGATTTTTAATTATGCACAAAGTTAATCCCATGGAATCCGAGTCATTAGTTCTGTTTATCCAAATTTTGAAGGAATAACAATTTCCAATTTCTGACCTGAACTACCAGATTGTAAGCCATCAGCTGCTTCTAGATTATCTAAAGTCATACACAACACCATATGCCTCAGGCTCATGGGAATTTTAATGCCTATAACTGACCATATTAGCTACATATCCAAACTTCTTTTCTTTCTTTCTCTCTCTCTTTTTTTGTTTTGGAGGGTGGGTGAGTTTTTCTTTTATTTTCCTTTTATTTTTTCGTTTTTTGTTGGGGGCATTAGGCAGGGAAACAGTCCTCAAATACCTCAAGGGGAACTCCCAGTTCCTCTCCCAAGGCACGCATCTTTGCCAACCCAGTCTGATAGTTGGGACCACCTCTTCGAACATAGATGTGCATTCTTGATGCTTTTAACTTGGATTCCTGTACAAACAAAAAGTGATATCAATTAAACATATAAAGAGAAAAACAAAAACAAAAACAAAAACAAAAAAACAAAACAATACTGTTGATCATTAGTTTGAATAATTTTACTCAACCAGACCTTCTCTCTGAGGGCTCGAATAATCCCATTGAAAGTAGCAGCAACGTCGGTGAAATTAGCAATACCTCCTCCAATTAGAAGGGCTCTCTTACGACCATCAGGGTCTGCAGTGGCACACTGTGATCGCGCCAAAGGGGCATATTATTCAATACCAGACTTGAATTACCAAAGTTTCTAAGTTTTAGTACATTTAAAGGAAGAAGATTGATATCTTACATCAATAACGACTCTGGCATATTGCAGCACTTCATCCTCATTTGGAGCTCCACTATACTCTGCATAGTTACCAAGTTCCGATGCATAACCCAAATCTCCAACCTAGTTAATTAGCCTCGATTAGTACAAAACTTCTGAACCCCATAATATGTTAAAGTGCCTCATTGTGCACGTATGCAAGGACAAATGATGGATTGCAAGGGTATGTAAAAGCACTTACTGTATCAGCATATATCACGCTAGCACCACCTCCAGCCACCATTGTCCAAATGCGTCCTTTTGGGTTCAAGACAGTAAATTTGAGAGATGCACTAGTCTGCAATGTTAACACAACAAGGTCACACATGTAAGCTTCTTGTTAATGCAGAAGCAAACTCCAACCCCATGACTGAACTAGGAGATGACAATCTACTTAAAAAAATGATGGTGAGAACAAAATGCATCTACAGTCAAAAAGCCCATTTCCTTCATATACAGGCACACTTTGTGGCTCAACTAAATATACAAAATAAAAATAAAAACCAAAACCAAAATAGAAAATTTCTACAACTTAACAATTGGTGATTACTCAAAATAGAAAATTTCTCATACTATGCATAAATAAAAAGTAATGCACTTACCTTTTCATCCAATGAGTGAATGAAGCTTTCTGTAGGACTTAGAACTCTTCCAAAGGGAAGAGGAAACTCTATGTCGCCCCACCTGAACTCATAAAATAAATAAATAGGATTAGACAGTATCACAATAGGGTTATTTTAAATGGAACTTTTCACAGATCAATTTACTGTATATCAAAAGAGAATGTAAGAAGCAGGAGGAGGAGCTCACTTCTTAAAGTTCTTAAAGGCAGCAGTGTCATCCAACTCTCCCCTCATATCCAATGGGTATGGCTCTCCATTCACCAGGGTAAAGGGATTCATCTCAAGGAAACTGAAATCCAGATCTATAGACAGAATAGAAAAAACAAATGTCATGTGAACAATGTCAATGTTCTAAGAAAATGGAAGATAATTGTCAAACAAAACATCAACAAAAACATGCACACCACACTCACCAACACAGAAGAAGATATAGTTTTTCACCTCCCTATCTTCGATGAGAAAGGCTTATAAATTCAATTATATCCTACCCATCAAAGATAGCAAGTCCAATTAAATTTACCCTATAAAGATCCCTACCTTATGGCATGTACAAAGTACTTAAATGTAAGGAAGATCGAAATTATTTGAGCATCATATTGTACAAGTTTTGGTAACAGAAAAAACACCTTTTGATCCTCAAGAATAATATACCTTAAATATAGCCAATACAGCGTCAAACTTTACTTAAATTGAATGTGGAACAGATAAAACCTTTAGAGCTTAGTTTATCATATTTTATTGATGAAGAGCAAGTTTTTTCATCCCTATGTATTACATACCTTGGAATACAGCAAATACACCCAGTATGAAATCTCCTATTTTCCCTCGAACCTGAGACCAAAAATGTACGATTATCCAATGAGAAACAAACTACTTGGCAATACAACAATTAAAATTTTTGGAAGATTGGAGCATGCAAAATAAACTAAAGAGACTAGAAAGTAAATGATAAAGAAATATGCTGTCTCGGATAATATATGCAGTGAAAATGGAAAACCTATGAATTCATACATATTATTTGATGAAGTATACCTTGAAAGAAAACCAGCTTCAAGAATACTGAGATTCCAAATATGAAATCATGACAAATTATGTCAAAGTTGCAAGCATTTCATATCATAAGGTACACCATTATGACCTTGTATGTGTGAAGAAACTTCTAGTTGAAGACCAATTCAAGTGCCATGGTAAATAAAACAAACGGAAAATAAAGAAGAACTCTGAAATTTTTTACATTTCAAATGTAATAGCATGTAAGATCTCACCTCCAATGGAAGTGTGGCAATCAAAGGCGCACATGCCTCCAATGTCATAGGTTTCTCAGTTGGAAGAGAGATAGTTTTGACCTGTAAGAAGGACAAATTGAATAAACAACATGTTTTCTGCCCCAAACCCAAATTTATATCCAATCAGTGATGACTTATGAAACATAGACATGAACTTGGGACGTGAAACAACATGACAAGGACACACAGGCTGGGTGGATCCTAAAATCTACACTACATGGCAACAAGTTGGGGTGTGTATGTGTGTACATGCTATAACAGCAGCCGAGTGTCTAAAATTATTAAAATTATTTTCGAACTATGAGACAAGACTGCTTGTGGAGTATGCTAACTATTAGATGACAGAAAATCGGTCAAATCAAACAATAGGGTCAGACTAAAATAGTAACCTGTCAATACAGCAAAAAGATTTTTCATCAACTTACCTTGTCCCAATTCTCTTCAATTTCAATACCTCCACATTCTGAAAAGCTAATGGTACAACCGAGCCTATCAGATACAATGGAAAGGTAATATTCTTGGTCATGGGGAACAAATGGTTCGACAATGAATGTGGTAATTGGTGCCTTGCAACCACCCATCTCAACCTAGAGGATAAAATTCACATGTTAAGTACAAAGGAATCACACAACTAGTAGTAAGATGTTTCAGTAATCATAACTTGCTGATCACCTCCACACCAAGGCGGGCTTTCACAAAGTCAGCAACTTGAGCTAGATCTAAATTCAACGCTACCAATCCACTCTTCCCTCGCTTGCCAAACAACATGTCAGGTTTTACAACCAATTTTGTCGATGAAAGCCATGGTTCTTTGTTTGTCAACTCTGGGAAGTTTGTAGCCTCATTTACCTAAAGAAAAAAAGTTCCATTTTTTTGTTTCGGAACAACAGCTGTGAGTGTTATCAATTAGAAATACAAACAGACATACAAAAATTATATTTTGGCTGAAGGACAGTCTCAATGACATAATTTAAGACATAATTACAAACGAAAAGATAACATCAATGCCTCTGATTTCTAGAAAATATACTTTACAAGTATTTAACACATCAGATTGAAGACCATTTATAATTTCAACTCTTAGCCGTATAGTATGTTGGGAAGAAAATGGAATAATGTGAAACTGTGACAGACAACAGAAACTTTGGAACATAATTTAGTGCTGTGATTTCCAATTAAAAGAGCACCATGTAAGCCACGTAGTTGTTTAGAAAATCTAACATCTGACTTTCAGTAGAGTGGACATTTTCTATATTTAGTCGAACAATTTCCATAGTTTTTAAAAATTTCTCTATTTCATTAAGTTCTAGACCAAGAAGCATGGGTGCGGGTACGAGTACAATACGGGTACGAGTGCGGGTACGCCGATACGGCAAAACCCCAAAAAAGTAGGATACGGGCACGGCTGCGGTACGCCGATATTTTTTTATTTTTTTTATTTTTTATAATTAATTTTTTTGATTATTAACATTATGTAAGTATGATTGATTATTAATTTTTGTGTTCTAATTTATTAATTTTTTTGATCTAATTTTTTTTTTTTGTTCTAAATATGATTGAATAACTTGGTTCTATACCTCTCTAATTTTTTTTTGGTTCTACATCAGATTATACCTCTTTGAAGAAGAAATAAGAAACAAGAAAAAAAACAAAAAAAATAAAGATGAAGAGATTCTGACCCAAGGGAAAAAAAATGAAGGGACAAAAAAAAGTTATTTAGGGGAAAAAAATTCTGACCAGTTATTCAGGGACAAAAACAAGTTATGCAACAAGGGACAAAAAAAACAAAAAAACAAAATCATACAAGTTGCTTGGTTGCTAGGTATGGCTGATATGCAGGGGACGAAAATAGATGCTTGCTGATCTCTGCAAAAAAAAAAAAATGAGATGAAGAAGAAGAAACGAAGAAGATAAGAGAAGACGAGGGTGGAAGATGAAACAAAGAAGAAGAAGATGAAGGCGAAGAAGAAGATGAAGAAGAAGATGAAGACGAAGAAGAAGAAGAAGAAGAGGAAGAAGACTCACCAGAACTCCTTTCGTCGCCGTCGCCGTCGCTGGAAGGGAATGGCTGGGTCGCTGTCACCGGAAGGGAATGGCTGGGTCGCCGTCGCCTCTTTGCTTCTATGTCGCCTCTTGGTGCTGTGCTGCTCAACTGATGAGATTAGAGCAAAACAACCTTCATTCGTATATATCATTTTTTCTTTTTCTTTTTTAAATTTTTCTTAATATTGCTCTAGTACCCCTCAATTCTCCAGAAAATTTGATTTCTGCCCCCGACGTACCCGAAACGCACCAAAGGCGTACCCATGCCATACCCAAGCCGTACCCATGCCGTATCTGACTGAACCAGACGTGCCCGACTACTTTTTGCCGTACCCGGTGCGCGTGCAGCCGTACCGGTACGCGTACTCGCACCCGGTAAGTACCCGGTACGTGTATGGCACTATTTTTGGAGTACCCGTGCTTCATAGGTTCTAGATAATGAAAGATCTAACCTTTAAATCTTACTTTATTCTCTAATCCAACCTTTTCTAAGCAACCAAACAGCCCTTTCCTTTATATTCATATTTTTCAATTATGTTTTTCACCTTTTCCTTTATATTAATCAAATTACTATAGATGCCAACTATGACATGAAGCCTAATACTCAGAATCAATTAAATACTAGGTCATTCCCCTTAAGTGATGCGTTGCGCCTACCTCCGGGTGTTTTGAAAAGTGAGCAAGGGGCGCCGCATCGACGCTTGGGTGCGGTGAAAAATGGGCAAAGGTTTCCGCGTTTTCCTGGACGAGGGCGGATAAAGAAGCTAGTCCAAGATTATAGGTTTAGGGTAGTCACATGGAACATATGAACTTTAACTGGTAAGACTATGAAATTGGTAGATGTCATGATTAGAAGAAGAGTTAGTATAGCTTGCATACAATAAACTAAATAGACGGGTGAGAAAGCTCGAGAAATAGAGGATACCGGTTTTAAGCTATATTATAGTGGTAAGGATAGACACAGGAATGGGGTAAGAATAATAGTTGCTAAAAGTCTTGTAGAAAATGTAATTGCAGTCATTAGGAAGGGTGATAGGATTATGTTAGTTAAACTAGTTATTGGAGAGAATATAGTGAATGTTATTAGCGCATATGCCCTCCAAGTAGGATTAGATGATCAGACTAAGATAGTTTTTTGGGACCAAATGGATGAGGTATTACATGAGATACCTGTGGGAGAGAACCTAATCATAGGTTGTGATTTCAATGGTCATGTAGGAGTAGATAAACTAGGGTACGAGAGGATGCATGGTAGGTATGGTTTTGGTGATAGAAATTAAGCTGGAGAGAGTACTTTAGATTTTGCATTGGCTTCTGACCTAGTGGTGACCAATACTATGTATAAGAAAAGAGAGGAGTATTTGATAACCTTTAAGAGTGGATCAATTAGGAGTCAAATAAATTACTTTCTAGTAAGAAAAGGGGACTGTCTAAAATGCAGCGACTATAAGGTGTTTCTTAGAGAGAGCTTGATGTCTCAACATAGGATTTTGGTACTAGATTTATGTTGTAAAAGGCAATACCAAACTTGGAAAGATAGTGGGGGTCACAGAACTAGATGATGGGACCTAAAAGGGAATAAACTAGACACCTATGAAGCACAGGTACTCCAAAAATAGTGCCGTACACGTACCGGGTGCGGGTACGCGTACCGGAACGGCTGCACGCGTACCGGGTACGGCAAAAAATAGTCGGGTACGTCTGGTTCAGTTAGATACGGCTTGGGTACGACATGAGTACGCCTTTGGTGCGTTTCGGGTACGTCGGGGGCAGAAATCAAATTTTCTGGAGAATTGAGGGGTACCGGAGCAATATTAAGAAAAATTTTAAAAAGAAAAAGAAAAAATGATATATACGAATGAAGGTTGTTTTGCCCTAATCTCATCAGTTGAGCAACACAGCACCAAGAGGCAACATAGAAGCAAAGAGGCGACGGCAACCCAGCCATTCCCTTCCGGCGACAGCGACGCAAGGAGTTCCGGTGAGTCTTCTTCCTCTTCTTCGCCTTCGCCTTCTTCTTCGCCTTCTTCTTCTTTGTTTCATCTTCCACCCTCATCTTCTCTCATCTTCTTCGTTTCTTCTTGTTCATCTCATATATTTTTTTTTTTGCAGAGATCAGCAAGCATCTATTTTCGTCCCCTGCATATCAGCCATACCTAGCAACCAAGCAACTAGTATGATTTTGTTTTTTTTGTTTTTTTTGTCCCTTGTTGCATAACTTTTTTTTGTCCCTGAATAACTGGTCAGAATTTGTTGCATAACTGGTCAGAATTTTTTTCCCCTAAATAACTTGTTTTTGTCCCTTCATTTTTTTTCCCCTGGTCAGAATCTCTTCATCTTTATTTTTTTTGTTTTTTTTCTTGTTTCTTCATTCTTCTTCAGAGAGGTATAATCTGATGTAGAACCCAAAAAAAATTAGAGAGGTATAGAACCAAGTTATTCAATCATATTTAGAACAAAAAAAAATTAGATCAAAAAAATTAATAAATTAGAACACAAAATTAATAATCAATCATACTTACATAATGTTAATAATCAAAAAAATTAATTATAAAAAATAAAAAAAATAAAAAAATATCAGCGTACCGCAGCTGTACCCGTATCCTACTTTTTTGGGGTTTTGCCGTATTGGCGTACCCGCACTCGTACCCGTACCGTACTCGTACCCGCACCCGTGCTTCTTAGCTAGACACATTTAAGAATAGAATGGATAAAGAAGGTGCTTGGGACTTGGAAGATGATGCTAACATTATGTGGAACTCGATGGCCAATTGTATGAGGAGAATCTCAAAGGAAGTTCTTGGAGAGTCGAAAGGAAAGAGACCCAACTTTAGGGAAACTTGGTGGTGGAGGGAGAAGGTCCAAGCGGTAATAAAGACAAAAAAAGACAGCTTTAAAAAGTGGCAAAATGATAGAACTGAGAAAAATCTTAAGCACTACAGATTGACCAATAAAGAGGTCAAAAAAATAGTGAGGAAGATTAAGTTAAAAGCCTATGATGACTTATACACTAGACTAAATAGTAAGGAGGGAGAGAAGAGAATATACAAACTTGCTAAGATAAGAGAAAGGAAAACAAGAGATTTTAATCAGGTTAAGTGCATCAAGGGTGAGGACTCTAAGGTGTTGGTGAAGGATGAAGAGATTAAGGAAAGGTGGAAGAACTATTTTGAGAAGTTGTTAAATGAGGGACATGGAGGTAGGTCAAAAGGGGAGGAAGTAGGCAATAATAAGAAAAACCAAAACTATATGTTCTATCGTAGAATTAGGGACTTTAAAGTAGAGTTTGCACTTAAGAAGATGAAATTAAATAAGGTTTTAGGACCCGATGATATACCTATTGAAGTGTGGAAATGTTTGGGTAAGAATAGGGTTGTTTGGTTGACTAGGTTATTTAGCAAAATTTTGTTGACTAAAAAAATGCCAGATGAGTGGAGGAACAGTATTTTAGTGTCAATATCTAAGAATAAAAGAGATGTTTAGAATTGCAACAACTATAGAGGAATCAAGTTAATATGTCACACAATGAAAGTGATGGAACGTCGATTGCGAGATGTAACAGGGGTGTCAGAGAATCAATGTGGGTTTATGCCTGGTAGGTCAACAATGGAAGCGGTCTATCTTTTGAGAAGAGTAACAAAAAAGTATAGAGAAAAGAAAAGAGACATTCATATGATTTTTATCGATCATGAGAAAACATATGATAGAGTGCCTCGGGATATAATCTGGTGGGTGTTAGAGAAAGAAGGGGTGACAAAAGGATACATTAATGTGATTAGGGATATGTATGAAGGTGTGGTGACCACTATTAGATCATCTACTAGAGAGATGAGTGAATTTTCAAATTCTACAAGATTACACCAAGGATCAACCTTAAGTCCTTGTCTTTTTGCTTTAGTTATACATGAATTGACGCACGATATTCAAGATGATATGCCATGGTGTATGCTTTTTGCAGATGATATTGTGATAGTGGATGATGAGACTAGAGAAGGAGTTAACACTAAGTTAGAGATTTGGAGAAAAGCACTTGAATCTAAAGGATTTAGGATAAGCAGAACTAAGACAGTGTATATAGAATGTAATTTTAGTAACAATCACAATGAAAGCAAAGGAAAAACGAAGATTGAGAACCAAGAACTACCTAAGAGTTAACATTTTTGTTATTTAAGATCAATTATCACAACGACTAGGAAGATTAGAGCGGATGTGGTCCACATAATTAAGACGGGGTGGCTTAAGTGAATGAGTGTGCCTGCAGGACTGTGCAATAAATGAGTACCCATTGGACTAAAAGGGAAGTTCTATAGAACGGTTATTAGACCAGCAATGTTGTATGGAACAGAATGTTGAGCAACTAAGAAACAACATGTAGAGAAGACGAGTGTTGCTGAGATGAGGATGTTAAGGTAGATGTGTGGCAAGACTTGAAAAGACAGAGTTAGGAATGAATATATTCGATAATGGATATGAGTAGTACCGATAGAAGATAAGTTGAAAGAGAATAGATCGAGATCGTTTGATCATATACAACGAAAACCAATAGAGGCAGTAGTGAAGAGATGTGATACAGTAACGGTAGATGGTAGTGTTAGGGAAAAGGGTAGACCTAGATTGAAGTGGACTAAAGTAATAAGTAGAGATATGAATCTCTTTAATTTGACTAACGAAATGGCCTTGGATAGAATCAAGTGAAGAAAAAGGATTCATGCAGCCGACCCTTATTGATGGGGCTTAAAGCTTGGTTTGGCTTGGTTTGGTTTGGTTTGGTTTGGCTTGAATGGTATTCTTGAATCTCCAAATTATAATTCTTTTCGCTCATCAAGCTTATTTCATCTTTTGACCCATCCAATATCCTTTCTACCTACACTGTTATTATCTTTTCTGGTGAACATTTGCAATAATTAATAGAAATCATCATTCTCAAATTTGTGGCTAGAGCATTCAATCTTTAATAGTATATATTTTCACTTACATGAAAATATGCAAAAATATTAACATTTGGGAATGCCTTTATATAAAATCCAATTCAATAACATTTTGAGAATTGGTCATACTAGTTCATTACTTAAATATGTAAAACATTGTCAAAATTCATTCGATGGTAGAATTCACCAAATTTAATGGATGCCCAATTTTATACTTTGATTTAAAACAGAGTGTTACCCTCTAGGTACTGAAATTCATGGCTTCACCTCAAGTGGTAATAGTGGCCATGCATTGATGATGGCAGAGGCGGACACAAGGAGGGACTAGCAAGGGCGGTGATTCCTGCAAACTTGAAGTTAACTCCAGAAATTATCACTAGTTTCTACTATTTTTTTTATCAATTTAATTGTTTGAAAATTGTAAATGGTGGCCCCCCAAGCCAATAAATTGGAAAAACCCTCAGCAATAGTTTTTCTAATGATTTTATAATAAATATTTTTTACTTCAATTGTATTACTAATCATATTTGGTTTTTCATATTTTGTTTATTATGTGATGTGTCACTTTTGTATTAATCTAATGGATCCCGCCATTTATGTTATTGATATAGTGGTGATATATCACATGATAAATAAAATGTGGTGTTTGTTATTATTATAGTAGTGATGTATCGTAAATCCAAAAAAAAAAAAAAATCCTTTCCCCAAAAGAAGATGAAAAAAAAAAAAAAAAAAGAGGAAAGAAAGAAAGAAAAGAATAATGATATATCATATGATAAATAAAATATGATGAGATAATGTAAATAATATTATTCTTATACTACCATCTAGCAAATAGTCAAGTTAAATGAGAAAATGGGACGAATTATTCTTTTTATAACAATACAAGGAGACAAACTTTGGAAGGAAAAATTAATCAACAATGCTAGGGATCAATAAACATTATTCAATTTTCCTCTTTTGATGTAAATCTTTAGGGATAAATGTAAATGTATCTATAGATTTTCTCTTTGAAAAATAATTTTGTGTTTAATGTGAACATTGATGGAAAGTTTTCCTCTTTTGATTTTTTGTTTTGTTTTTACAATGTAAAAAAGTATTTATATAATACACTTTCTATAAAATTTATATAATACTCTTTTGATTTTTTGTTTTGGTTTTGATATACGAGGATAAAGACAATATTTTGCTTCTAAAAGCACCAAATTGACAATTTGGTTATAAAACAACCCCTCCCTCCCTCCCTCCCTCCCGAATCAAGATCCTCTACTTCAGCTCTCTCCTTAAGTCCCTCCTTGCTAGGCCATTGGACCCACTATTGGATTCAATTTTGATGATCCGAACCGTTCACATTTTAAGATTTGTTGAGTGTATCATACCTGTAAAAAATAAAGTTGATCGGATATCAAAAAGCATATGTTCAGAAAACTGTTTATTAATTTTTTTTTTTAAAATGGTTTGTAGTTCGATGATCTAAACACGTAGTTTTTGATATCCGATCAACTTGATTTTTTACCGGTATAATATAATCAACAAATCTTAAAATATGAAGAGTTCATATCATCGAAATTGGATCCAAAAGTGGGCCCAATGGCCTAGCAAGGAGGGAGTTAAGGAAAGAGAAGAAGGAGATCCGAGCACATACTTTCTGATATCCGATCAACTTGATTTTTTGCAGGTATGATATATTCAACAAATCTTAAAATGTAAACGGTTCATATCATCAAAATTGGATCCAATAGTGGGTCCAATGGCCTAGCAAGGAGAGAGTTAAGGAGAGAGATGAAGGAGAGGATCTTGATTCCTCCCTCCCAACACAAATAAAAATTATATGAAAATTTTAGTTTTTGATTGACATAAAAAACCAAATGCAAACTTGTTTCTACTTCAGAAAACAGACATGGAAGCACAGAGACACAATGATATCAAACTTACATTGCATGAATGAAGTATAAATTTGGATCACATCTTGTACAATCTAAAAAGAGAAAAAAACAAACATGCAACAATGATCAATGGCTACTACAGCAATGTTAGTGATTAAAACATAACATCTGAAAATTTAGCACAAAATGCGTAGGAGATATCACATCAAATTTTGTATTACCAATACCAATCAATGAACATAAAATTAACAATCCAAAAAAAAAATCATATAGAATTGATGAATGAGAGAGAGAGAATAGGGTACCTGAGCAGAGCAGATCTGGAGGTCAATCCGAGCGAGTCTCATCAAGTGCTCCTTGAGAAGCCTTTTGGAATCGTACTCTCTGATCTTCTTACGAGCCATTTTTCACGTTCAAGTGCTCCAAGAAATTCTCGAATAGCTCCTGTGAGGACACAGAAATCAAATACCGATTTATAAAGCGAGTGAAAGATGAAGGAGAGATCTAATTCTACCGAGGATTGCTTCGGAAGGAGAAATGGGCTTACCCAACCAACTCAACAGCAGGGGAGAGAGAGATATGGAGAAGAAAAAGAAGAAAAGAAAAACAAAAGACGGGGTAAATTAGAATCAAGATGTTCTCTTTCATCTCTCTCCTTAATTTCCTTTTTGTTAAATTATTAGACTCACTTTTAGATCTAATTTTATTAATCTGAATCGTTTATATTTTAAAATTTATTGAATATATCATAATTATAAAAAAAAATTAAATTAATCAAATATCAACAACGACGTGTTCGGATCATCGCACTACAAATCATTTTTTTTTAAATTTAATAAATAATTTTTTGAACACATGTTTTCTGATATCTGATTAATTTAATTTTTTACAGGTGCGATGTACTTAATAAATTTTAAAATGTGAACGGTTCCGATCATCAAAATTTGATCCAAAAAGTAGACCCAATGGCCTAACAAGGAAGGAGTTAAGGAGAGAGATGAAAGAAAAGATCTTGATTCGATAAATTACACCGATTTGGTCCGATTACATTGCACGTCCTAATATTATAAAAATTATATTTCTATCTTTATTGTAAATAATCTTATTTTACAAACTCTATTTATATGAAAGGTAATAATTTCAAATAAAAAATAAAAGAAATTATATTAAAATAAAACAAAGTAATGCAAAAGAAAAAAAAAATAACTAAAAAAATAAAAAAAATCAAGAAGAAAGAATATATGAATTTAATATCAATCAGTATAATTTCTCAAATATCAGGATAATATTAATTAAACCCAAGCATTAATGAGTGTAAGTGTAATTTATTATAAAAAATAAAATAAAATAAAAAACGATTATGACATGAATTGATGAATAATAACAGCAAGTGGTTAGTTGAGCTACTTTTTTTTAATTAGAAACGTTTGCTGCTGCTGGTAACCAAAAATTTTCAACACTAAAAGTGGGCTCGCAGTTGTGGACATGTGTGCGCTCGTCCAATTTGGGTGGGCTCCACTCCAACCAAACGAACGAGATAAATTCGAATTTTTTTAAGATTTGGATAATACCATCTAAAATTTTTTTGGATAATATATATTTGGTGTAGGTTTAATAAAGAATTTAGAAATTCGAATTTTATTTTGATTTGGACTGGCTTTTGAAAAATATTCTAAACAACCCGAACCCAAATTGTATTAATAAATACACCTCTCTAGGAATTTGTTTAAAATACAAATTTTATCTCTTTAAATTTTTAATCGTATAACAAATAATTGATTTTATTAATGAATTATTAGGTAAATTACAAATACACCACCTGAGATTTGTTTAAAATATGAATTGCCCCTTGTGATTTGGAAAATTATAAATACTTTCCTGTCAGAATTTTTTATTTAACAGAATTAATTAAAAAGATAAAATTTCTAACTGTTCACCTATACAATAATAAAATTATCTGAATTATTAATTGAAATAAAATTTTAACATTATTAAAAACTGTTAATTAACTTGATGATTTACTAATAAAAAGACCTATTTTTTATGAAATTAGAAACCTTAGAGGGCATAATGTAATTTCTAAGACAATATGGGGTAATTTATAATTTCAATAAATCTCAGGGGGTGTGTTTGTAATTTATCCTAAATTATTAAGTCAATTAATAATTTTTAATGATGTCATAAATATATTTTAATTAATAATTTAATTAATTTTACTATTATATAAAAGAGTAGTTAAAAATTTTATCTACAAAAATCAAATTAACACATTATGTAAACTACATAAACTAAATTGACATATCATTTGAGTTATATCCACAAAACCTAACAGTCATTATGTATTGGACCAATATGATACAATTCGTTAAATTAAAGGCCAAAATCAAGAAAATTAAAACAACATAGACTACATTGACACATCATATAAACTATAGGGACCATTTGCATAATTTTTCCATTTTATTATGTAATTGATTATTCATTTAGATTTTTGTTATAAAAAATACTCAAAGTGGTAGCCAAACATTAAAAAATCAAAATAATTTTTTTCTGTCAAAATTATTTTATACTAAAATATTTTATGACAAAACAAAGTAAGTCATATTCATAAATCTTTGTGAGTAAAATTACAGGTACAATTTGGGCGGGCTCAACTTAAGCAACCCGAGCCCTGCCTGAATTGTTTTAGGATTTGGGCAAAATATTTTTGACTTTGGTATGGATTTGAGCAAAATTCAAAAATCCAAATTAAATTTAAACGGATTTGGGCCTAGAGACCAAACAACCTAAGCAACTTGAAACCCAAATGATATAGACATAAATATATAAAAATATTAAATATACATGCAAATTAATAGTCATTGGATAGTGTTAAAATAATTTAGATTGTTAGATCATATTAATATATTATAAACACAAGTAACAATATAAACCCTAACATGTTTTTTTTTCTCAATTAGAAATTGTAAAGATCACTATAGTGGTTTTCAACTATAGTGATCTGTAACTATACATGTGTTGGACAATTTTCACTGTATTACGAATAAATTATATTTATGTACTTAGGCCCTGTTTGGTAGAGCTTATTTCCAGCTTATTTAAGCTTTTAGTTTAATTTAAGTTATTTTGATGTGTTTGGTTCAACTTAACAATACAGCTTATAGCTTTCTGTAAGTCAAAAATCAACTTATTCTTTGAGTGGGGGAGGAGAAGCTTAATTTATAAATCAAAAATCAGCTTATGTTCACAGCTATAAGCTATAAGATGTTAAGTTATAAGTTATAATTACTTTTCCATAGCTCTACCAAACGGGGCCTTAACAACAAATAGAAGAAATAAAGAAAACGAGAGAGATTGTTTGATTAAAAAAATCAAACCAGAATATAAAATAAATAAATAATAACAGATTTTGATTTTGTTTTTACAACAAAATAAAAATCTGAAACAAAAAAATAATAATAAAACAGAAAGTAAATTAATTACTAAACTTATGTATTTATTTAACAAAATTATGATCAAGTCCAGTGTTTAACACTGTGTCCTTAAGACAGATTCGTCCTTTCCACGGTGCTTTCAGATTATGGATGTCTAACTCTCAGAATAAAATAATCAATTACGAATAATTGTAGCACTACAAATTATTCGCACAACGGACACACTTTGTGTATACACTCTATACTCTTTCTCACAAGAAAATTAAATACAGCAAAATACAGAAAGTAATTACAGAAAGAAGAACGAATTTTCTGAATGACAAAAATCAATAGAAGGTTTGTCTATTTATAGGAGAAAATGTGGTTGTTTAGTTTGAATTAAACAGGTGCAAACCTATTTGAATAGGTGTTAAATCTGTTCAGTTTGAATAAACAAGTAAGGAACCTGTTGGGTTTAAATTTCAAACAGATATGAATCTATTTGGTTTAAATTCAAATAGATATTCATCAGTTCGGGTGGGGAAAAAATCGGAGCCAATTTTGAAATTAATTTTCAAAATTCAAATTCTAAAAAATAATTAGTATTGGGCCGGACAAGTCCAACCCAACCTCACACCATACACCCGTGCTCATGCCCAGCCCGCCCGACCGACCGAACAGACGACGGCGGCACGCACGTGTGTTTATTTTTGGGTCTAATGGGTCTAGCCCACTTTGGCCATAACCCCACACTTCCAAAAAACTTGGGTACCCCTTAGGGCCCTCCCCAAGTTACAAACCCAGGCTTTATAAACCCACAAAAGTTTGCCCACCAAACCAATGTGGGACAAGCCTTAAACCAAATCTTAAGGAATTTCCACCAAAAACACCATTTCCATAGAGCTCACTTTGGCTTCAATTTCCCATTCACTCAATAATGGTTTTGAACAACCAAATATACTACTTGAATCACAATGTGAGATAGAATGCGTTACCACTTAAACCTGCCAAATTTGGTGCATGGGTCCTACCTAAAAAATAGACTAAAGTTGAGGAAAAATCTGTTTTTCCATAACTTCCAAAACTCAGTTCTAACAATCCCCCACATGAATGGAATTTGATGACAATGGAGATGCAACAATATGCAGAATTTGTCGAAATAGTATAAATCAAAAATATCTTGCATTAGGATAGGTAGCTTTCAGCCTTGAACCTTCCTTAGTGATAACCTATCGGACTTACTAGCTAACCAATGGACGCGATGCCTTGAATTGTTCAGCTGTTTGTGTAAGCCAAGGCAATAGATTTCACACAAAATATCTTCTGACACATCGTGGTTCTCATGATTGTGTTCATTTTGGCCTTGAACACTCCTAGTTGCTCATGAGTGCTTCTAGAGAATTTAGCCTCATCATTCTCATAGAACCGACCCCAGTTCAACACTTATATAGATGATTCTTATTGTGAGTATCTCATTTATACTCGTCTTGATTTTTATGCCTAAATCAAGATATAAGTAATAATTAAAAGCAAAGCTTATTCTTAAACCCCTACATACAACACATGTTGCAGATATTACTCTCACCATATGAATGGGTAGGGAATTTTAATCCCTTGGTGATTTCTGGCGAGCCACACATAACTTAGTTGTCCTTTTGAACTTAGTTCTTGGGATCTCCAGTCATTTAAGTTGGGTTACCATTTTGATGAATTTTATGTAATAGGCTTTAATCCCATCCCCTTTGATGAATTATACACTTGCTCCTTAGTCAAACCTTTTGTTAACGGATCCACAATATTCTTTTTAGATTTTATATAATCTATTGAAATTATTCCATTTAAGAGCAATTGCCTTACGCTATTATGTTGACGATGAATATGTCGTGACTTACCATTATATATATGATTTTGTGCTCTGCCTATTGCAAATTGACTATCACAATGAAAGCAAATAACTGGCACAAGTTTTGGCCACAGTAGAATGTCTTCTAAAAAGTGACGCAGTCATTCTACTTCTTCTCTTGTTTTATCTAAAGCAATAAACTCAGATTCCATTGTGGATCATGTGATGCATGTTTGTTTCGTGGATTTTCAAGAAACAACAGCACCTTCCAAGGTAAAGACATATCCATTAGTAGATTTTGAATCTTTAGTATCCGATATCCAATTAGCATCACAATAACCTTCGAGTACTACTCGATATTGAGTAAAATTCAAACCATGATCACGAGTAAATCTTAGATATCTAAGAACCCAAATGATCGCTTTC